GGAACAAGTTAGCACAGCGAAATAAACTGGCCTGTGAGGGGATCCCATGGGTGACTTTGGTCCCTGGGGGGCTCAGCTCCCCCAAACAAGCTAGTAACTGAACCCTGGCAGCCATTCTTGAGCTGTTTACTGTGAAAGGCATTTGAGTCAGCTCTATTCCTTCATGATACTACACTTCCTTGGTCCTATTCTTATTTTCTAGGCCTTTCTCACTTCCCCTTCTCTGCCCCTGGCCATTCTGGGCTTCCTGGTGCACCTGTAGCCCAAGTACTGCTCCAACCTTCATAAACTCCAAGACTGACACAAAGTTACTGTAGAAAAATCATCAGAGATGCTAAATAGTTAGCCCTGAATGTTAGAAACAACTCTCTACAAATTGACAGTGGGTAGTATGCAGGGTATTCCTGAAATCTCCTGTAGGCATCCACAAGGCCAAACCTAAGGAAACATTTCCAACCCTCATGCAAAACAGACACACTCGAAGGCCAAGAGAAACCACACCGCCTGAGTTACAGGCTTTATTTAAAAATATTTTCTCAAAAAAAATTAATATTAAAAAAAATATTTTCTCAGTAAGAGTTTGTTCCTTTCCCAGAATAATGGAGCACAATAGGTTCTGGCAAGGGTCTTTAGAATATCCCATTTGAACATGTGAATATTAAAATTGTTGAAGTCTATAAAAATGTTTTCAATTTCTTATTGCTCATATTCCTATTACATTGTTGTAGATTATTTTTGCAATCTGAGTCTGATTCCTCCCCATCCTCTTCTAACTCATGCCCTTTTAACCTCACTTTAGGACACTTTCTAAGGCTCTGAGACTGAGCATATGTGATAGTTTTTAAAAATTATTTCTGATTTTGACTTTGTCATTGTCCTCTTAGAGTCAGGCAGCATGTTGCATTGGAAAAACTCCTGCCAGTGATACCAAACACCAAAGTTCTAGTACAAACTACCATTACCAGATGTGAAACTTTAGGTAAATCACTAAGGGCCTCCATTTTCTCAACAGTAAAAATGGGGACTTAGACTAGACCACTTCTAAGGGTCTTCCCTCCCTCTTTAACATCTTGACAATAATTTCAGTATTTGTCATTAAAACTGTTTTGAGTAGATTTGGGACACTGCTATAATCTTTACAAAGTGCAGTTGAGTACTGCGCCACTAAGGACCATTCAACATTACCCCCAAACACAAACTGAATTGGGTGGAACACCATATAAACTTTATTTATTTGTAATTTTAGTCCCCAGTTGTCTCATTTAAATATGAATTTAAAACATTCAAAACACTTAGGTACTGTGATGTCATAAATTGCATTTTTAATATTACAATATTATTTACTATTGTAAAGTGATTTCCAAAAAGGGTCATTCTGCTGTAGAGAATTTCTGGACCCGTATTTATTTCCTTTAAACTATGACAACCTCCACATACACTAAGAGAGTCTCTGTGTTGCTTTAGTTGAACCAACAATGTTTGGGGAGAAATGGGTAGCCACATGGACTGAAGATGAGATTTTTCCCCCCAACTTTGTTCCTAATCACTGACAAAGACACTGGATGAGGCTACCATTATTTTAATCTCTAAATCTTTGCTCATAATCAGACAATAGTTTCTCATCCTTCTCCTTATACGCTTTCTCAGAATAATTTCCTTATTCTTCTTGTAATATCACAAAACTTTGTGGTTATAAGCTAGCTGAACAAAGACCCTATCAGGCTCAGTATTTGGAAATGTCAGATGTCTAGTTGTTAATCAGGGCTTATTATTAATGCAAGTTTTAATTAACATAAATGACTAAGGAACAGCTCAAGAATCAGGGCATAAATGTTTGTCTTTTCAATTAAATGATACTGTAAATAATAAATTAGGGGGAAAGCTTTGGATAATCAGTAATACCAAAGACAATTGGGATATATTTTAATATAGTCGAGTTGCAAAGCCATTAGTTAATAGCTCTGCTTTGATTTTTGCCTCACCACACAATTGGGAGCAAACAAAAGTGTGAGTATGTGCATGTGTTTAGCAGAGGCTCTATTCAGTAACAATTATTAACTCAGGGTCAATGCCAAGAAGCCAAGACAAATGAATGGCCTGGTGGTTCAGAGGGGGCTCAGGGCCTGGATATGTTTCACAGCAACACAAATCCCATGTAAGTTATTTAGCCAGTCAACCCTTGCAGGGGACTCAAACCCACTCTTGGTAAGCCCTGGCTAGACTATGTCAGGAATATTTGGACAGCATGATTGAACTTAAGGGGAAAGAAAGACTTACAATTCCAGATTCTGACATGGTCTACAAACCAATGCTAGATATTAGATATCCAGTAGACTACCAGTATGCCTCCCAATCACTTCTTTCCCATGTTCTCCAGAGGCCCCAGATAATCCATGTGGATTAAATGAAAGGAAATCACCTTCTCCCTCTACAACCTCAAACTGGTTTCCTAGTCCTGTTATTATTCCTTTTCATTTTCCTGAATCCATCCCCAAAGCCACGCCTTAGCCATATTTGGGCCCTGGTGAATGCTCAGGTGGACCATTGCAGCAATTGATTGGGCGCTGGGATCTTCCCCCTGCAATGGACTAATCCCGATCCCAATTCAGATTCTTTCACGCCCATCACCCTGAAGATAGAGTGCAAACTATAGAGTGTTACACCCAAGGTCCTTCAGGAGTTGAGCTGTGCCTCCAGGCTCACTTCTTAAAAAGTACCCCATGTAAGGAACCTCTTGCTCGCGGCAAACTGAACAACCAGCAGCCGATCCCCGGACTTGACACACATGGACGTGCCTTTAATCAGTCTTCTGACCAAGATGCCCTTCCTCTTCACTTCCTTATCTTCCTGGAGAAATTCAGTGGATCCTTTAAGATCTGGCCCAAGTTCTCTACAGCTTTTTTTTTTTTTTTTTACATCTTTATTGGAGTATAATTGCTTTCCAATGGTTAGTTTCTACTTTATAACAAAGTGAATCAGTTATACATATACATATGTTCCCATATCTCTTCCCTCTTGCGTCTCCCTCCCTCCCACCCCTCTAGGTGGTCACAAAGCACCGAGCTGATCTCCCTGTGCTATGCGGCTGCTTCCCACTAGCTATCTATTTTACGTTTGGTAGTGTATATATGTCCATGCCACTCTCTCACTTTGTCACAGCTTACCCTTCCCCCTCCCCATATCCTCAAGTCCATTCTCTAGTAGGTCTGTGTCTTTATCCCTGTCTTACCCCTAGGTTCTTTATGACTTTTTTTTTCTTAAATTTCATATATATGTGTTAGCATACGGTATTTGTCTTTCTGACTTACTTCACTCTGTATGACAGACTCTAGGTCCATCCACCTTTAATTGTTTCAAAACCATATCTTGCTATGCTTGAGGGTAGTGGCCATTATATTCATAATTGTTTCCCCCCTTCAGATTTCATCTTCCACTATTCTCTCTGGCCTTCTTTCTATTCTCTGGCCATGCCAAGTCTCAGAGCTTTTCCTCTGGCTCTTCCCTTTGCCTAGAGATCTCTTCCCTGTCCCCATATGTGCTCTTCACAGGACTGCCTCATTCAAGTCTTAGCTCAAATGTCACCTCTGCAGAGAGGCAGCCCCTACTGTCCCACATCTAAAGTAGCCTCCCCCAATATTCTTCTAATCATTCTTTTATTATCCTGTTTGCATTTGTCTCCATCAGAAATGAACTTGTTTATCTTCATGTTTATTTGTTCTCTCCCCAGCTCTCCCACTCCTCACTAGAACATATTTATCTGCCTAACATATAGCAACCTTGTCTATGCATTCATTCATGTAGCCCCAGTGCCTACAACAGTGGCTGACACATAGCAGGTATTAATAAATATCTTTGGAATTAGTGTATGTAGGGTTTGCAACTGTAGGAATGGATATAAATAGGATTATTTTATGAGTATAGGTTTCCTGGTGAGTGGAAATAAAAAGGTGGACATCCTAATCAACCTTCCCCTCCTTCCCACCTCTCTAGAAACTGTGCCCTGAGTCATTATTTGAATGTTTTTACCTTTTGTCTTTCACAATTGTCTTTGCATGTCAAGAATGCATTAAGGCATAACTTTTGCAAGACCTTTTAGAGTATAGACTCTGGAGCCAAACCATTTAGGGTTATGTCCCAGTTCTGTCTGTGTATGACCTTAGGCAAGCAATTCAATCTCTTTATGCCACAGTTTCCACATCTATAAAAATGATGGGGGGCTTCCCTGGTGGCGCAGTGGTTGAGAGTCCGCCTGCCGATGCAGGGGACAGGGGTTCGTGCCCCGGTCCGGGAGGATCCTGCGTGCCGCGGAGCGGCTGGGCCCGTGAGCCATGGCCGCTGAGCCTGCGTGTCCGGAGCCTGTGCTCCGCAACGGGAGAGGCCACAACAGTGAGAGGCCCGCGTACCACAAAAAAAAAAAAAAAAAAAGGAAAAAAAAAAATGATGGGGGCTTCCTTGGTGGTACAGTGGTTAAGAATCTGCCAATGCAGGGGTCACGGGTCCGGGAAGATCCCACATTGCTGCAGAGCAACTAAGCCCATGCACCACAACTACTGAGCCTGCATTCTAGAGCCCACAAGCCAAAACTACTGAGCCCTCATGCCACAACTACTGAAGCCCGCGCGCCTAGAGCCTGTGCTCCGCAACAAGAGAAGCCACTGCGATGAGAAGCCCATGCACCACAACGAAGAGTAGCCCCTGCTCACCACAACTAGAGAAAGTCCGTGCACAGCAATGAAGACCCAACGCAGCCAAAAATAAATAAATTTATTAAAAAAAAATGATGCCTGCCTCATTGGATTGTTGGGATAATTACAAGAATATGTGCAAAACAATCAGACAATGGCCATAGCAAGTGCAATATACATGTTAATCATTAATATTAGTTGTTTTCTATCATGTGGAGACAGGACACAATTGAGAAATCCAAATAAAAGCAGTATCTGTGGGAGATTACTGTGATGGGGCAAGTGTGTGCAACAGAGAAATGAGAACAATAAAACTTTTGCTTCCAGAAACTCAAAAAAATATAGTTTATTAATTTTACATTTAGATGTTTGTGATACACACACATATAGAGGAAATCTGAAAGTAGAGTACCTCCATGATTTTGTGTTGAATGTTATACATTTTATTTTAAAATAATTTAACAAAGTTCATCTTAAATTTTATTATTTTAAAATAAAAACCATTATATCAAAATCTCAAGCATTTAAAAAATTGTAAAGGCCATGATTCAAGTCAACAATTCTGTATTTTGAGATTTGGTGGGTAAACATGATTTCATTTGTCTATGAAGAATTTACTCTGTTCCCTTCTTGCCTTTTCAAGGTTTTCAAAAGTGATCATTCCTTTTGGCAGCTGCAACTTACTCTTTTCTGTTTCCAGTATGTTCTCGGCTTCACCTTAAATAAAGTACAGAAATGTGCAAGGTGACAAAGGGGTCATCAGCATTTTGTGAGAAGACCTACTTGTTGTGTTCCACTGACATGCTGTAACACTGTGTGGAGGCATGCCCCCAGATCTCACAGTTACATATTTCACCCACTGTCCCCAGTGAAGTGACCTCCCAAAGGAAACACAGTAATGAATTCTGAAGATTCATAAAGAGATAAATCAGATGCCAGAGACTTTGACAGAAGACAGCATTTTAAAATGTAGAAGAGAAAGAATACCAAGTACTATTTTTTTTCCTTGAAGGAAAGTCAGGATGAAAACATCCTGACTTTCCTTCAAGGAAAAAAAATAGTACTTGGTATTCTTTAGTTATAAAGAATACTATTAGTTGTGTTAGGATAACTATTAGTTGTGTTAGGAGGGGTTCAGGGTGGTGAAACCCCATATGGTTCTTCTTGTTGCCCCTTATTATATCATAAGTGATGTGAGAAGAAAATAAAGTTTACTAAAAAACTCTAATTTTTCAGGAAAGCTAATCTTTGACTTGAAACTACTTATAAATACCCCAAATAATATTAAATGTTCTTTAGTCCATATATACATACATACACACACATATACACATTTTTATAAACAATTCCTCTTAAATAATAGCTAGTAATTTCTTGGGCACAGTGACATTTGCCAACTTTTATTGTTGAAGACTAGCGAAATTCTGAAAAACTATAATATATGTTGTTGACATTCCATAAACTTTCCTTGGGAATAAAGGCAGTTGTTTTCTTGAAGTATTCCTCTTTTAATGCACAATTAATTTATACTCCAAACCCAACAGGGCAGGCTACAATTTGCAAATTATCACAGCATTCTAACAATCTGCAAACATTTTTTTTTCTCAATCTTAAATAGTAAGTAAAAATCATTATAAAATTGTATGTAATTGGGCAGGCTATTGATGGACAGACTAGATGTTTCCATGAGAGAGTGCCTTCCATATGGCAGATTCTTAGTATATGTTTACAGAATGGCTGATAATAAAGTCAATTAAACAGGAAGTATATATCTTGGGGTCATCTCTAGTTAACAGGGCTATATATTATAAACTAAACTTTTTAATATGGTAAATTTCCTGGTGGATTCTAAAGTTTTATTTTATTTTTTTTAAACAGGAAATTTCCACAACATTCCTTGGAAGTTACATTTTTATATTCTATAGACTCTGATGGACCTGTTATAAAATTACTTCCCAATTATACAATCAAAATATTCCTAGAAAATAAATTTGCCCTCCATTAGTAATACATTCAAGTGAATGCTGTATAATAGAGTTGAGATTTCTTAATACTACATACTAACTTTTATGAGGGACTGAGAACTCTAATGTTCTTATAAACAGTGAGACATAGTTGAGCTCAGACTAATGAATTCTTAAGCAAATGAGTAACATGAACCTGAGCAGGTTATTGAAATGAGTTTTAACATAAGTAAATCAGTTTTGTACAGTTAGTTTCCAGCTTAAAATGGAATTGTACTCCAAAAGTTAATTTGTAGATCAGTGTTTTAGAACTCAGAATACATTTTCCCACAGTAATATATGCTATAAATAAATTTCTAGGCCATCAGCAAAACACTGTTTAGCCCACAATATAGCTGAACTATGATACCAATAATGTCTGACCCCAAAGGACATTTTAACATAGTTTCTATGTGGAAAATGTACTTCTATTTTCAAATGGGAATTTTTAAGAACATATAATTCCTCCATTTCCCTAAGTCTGTGCATGAAATGTTCTACTGCCTACTCCCAATACCTGCACCTTCTCCTTTCCCATACTAAACCAGTCCCCACAGAGCCTCAGGGATAGTGATGTGCCTATAGCCCAGGAGAGAACAGGATGGCAAAAATGAAGGCTTGGGAAAGCACTGTTTCCAGCATGCTCTGGGTTGAAGGCTTGAGGATTAGGGAAATAGGGATCCTCATGAGAGGTGTGTAGTGGTGGGAATTTGGAAGACATGGATATCCTAGACTAACGGGAAACTCTGTCTTCTTGGGACAGGAATGGCATCTGTGGCAGCAGTGCTAGTTTCTAGGGCAATAAAAGCCAGAGTTCAGTGGGAACAGTACGGTACTGGTGAAAATTTAACAACCAGCTTTCCAGAACAAAAACAAATGTATATAAGTTTATTATGTACATAAGTTTATTATAAATTTTACTTCTATGAAATATATGTAGCATACAATTTATAAATGATAATAACATGTACAGTACCCTTTATCATAAATTCTATATAGCAAATTGATCCTCAAAGAATGTTTTTATTGATTTTTGCTGAACTCTTTTATCCATAGCTCACCTAAGCAGTTGATGAGAAAGTATAATTTCAACATGAATGATGGTCGGTGTTTTCATTTACGTTAATGAGTAGGACAAAAGTGAAACAGTGATATTGTGGACTTTGTTGAATCAGATAACAGTTTTTAAATATTAGGACATTTCCTGAATTTTTTATGCTATTCACAACATAATGGATATGGACACAACACACTTTTAAGACTAATATACATCATTAACATTTTCTTCATCATTTTCTTAAGTCTAGACCACGGGTTGGCAGACTTTCTTAAAGGGCCAGATAGTAAATATTTTAGGCTTGTGGGGACTTGCATATCTGTTGCAGTGACTCGGCTCTGTCATGGAAATGGAAAAGCAGAAATGAATGGGTATGTCTGTGTTCCAATAAAACTTTATTTTCAAAAATAGGTGGCCAGCCTGCAGACCATAGTTTGTCAGCCCCTGATCTAGACAATCAACAAAATAGTAAGTCAAGCCTTGATTTGGTATTTGTAGATTTCCATGGTGTAAATACTCCCACCATGACCACCTTCAAGCTGACATACCAATGGGATGTCACTGAAGTCAGAGTTGTATCTGTATTTTATTGTGTCTATATATTGTATCTGCATTGCCACCATACAGATACAGTAGATATACATAACTTAAAAGAATAGATATACATAACTTAAGAGTACAGATATTTGTAAAATAATTAGAAACTAAGTTCTGATTATTAGTGTTTTAATATAATTTAATATTATGTATTTTCTGTAATTTATTTAATTGTAAGTTTATATAATTTAAAAAAAATTTTATTGGCGTATAGCTGATTTACAATGTTGTGTTAGTTTATATAATTTAATTTTTAATAATGACTGTGTTTAACAACCAGCTTACAAAATTCCTGAACATTTGACGGTTGGTTCTTGTGAGCTGGTATGAGGTGACTCCAGCATACCACTATGTGAGAGGGGGCAGAAATATCGGTCATTGGTAGCTCAGGGAGAGTCTTGTCAGAATTTTCATAATTCAAGGGGGTGTGAGGAGTGGATCCTGGAACCAGAAAATGAATCAGAAATTGAGACTCTGGTCTAAGACTTATCAAAGACTTACCTTTCATTCTTTGTATAAGGGTCCCGTAGCCCATGTCATACTGGTAGGCAAGGACAAAGCCTAATGGAACGATAGGGAAGAGGAAGGCAGGCTTCTTCTTTTTAATTGCTCTGATTCAAGAACAAAAAAGAATGAATATCAAGGAATAACCTGTAAATAAATATCTTTGTACTTGATGAAAGGAAATAATTTATCTGCTTTTGGGAAGAATATCCTCCATTTCAGAAGTTACTTAATTCTTCTATGGAAATAGGATTTGCTTACCCATAATCCCTCAGCAGATTCTGCAGTTCTTGGGTAGGGTCTATGATTTGTTCATCTTTATTTGATGTTGAGGCTCAGATTACTCATTTTAAAAATATTTAAGTATTGATATCTATCCCTTAGGGACTGTGGAGATGAATTTGTAGAGACTTCCTTCTGTCTTGGTGCAAAGTCAGTCCTCTCTCTTACTTATAAAATGGAGAAAAGTACAGAAGAAATCTAAGAAACTAAAGGAAGAATTAACTATTACTATCCTGGTTCTACAGAGTTACCGCCAAGGACTAAGCTATCAGGGTTACTTTGTTCGCCTATACGTGTACTATTTGGATCAAAGTCCTGTCTTGGCCAACTTAATAATATGATCATGGCAGAGACAAAAAGAAGTAGAAGAAAATTTTAAAGTAAGTAGCAAATATACCCAGCTGTTAAAGAGACGGCTGCAATGCCAAAAAAAGTTCCAAAATATTTGAGGAATTCCCGAGACCAAGCAATCTGCATAGCCATTTGTCTTTCTCTCGTTTCATTCTGCATCATTAGCTGCCTTTCCAGCTGAGGACAAAACAAAAGACAAAGTGTGGTTATTCATCTTTTGAATCCGAGCACAGAGTTAATAATCTGCTTTTCTAGTGGATTTTCTTTCTTCAGTAGCTTTAATTCATGTCTTTTCTTTTTTTAATCTCAGGAGACTTTGACTAAAGTCCTTCTGGACTGCTATCCCCAACTGTAATCTTGGCAGTGAAATCTGGAATATATATGGAATAAGTATGATATTCTTCTTCAGCTCTTGTATGCATGTAGTCTGGAACGTTTATCCAAGCCCAAAATATATGTTCAGCTTACTATATGAAATGTGAGAAAAATATCTATGTGCCTTTAAATACAGAAACACTTTATTGGCCTTAATTACCGTTTGCACTGAAATGATTTTGTCTTCCAAAACCATCCAACTCCACACTGAAATTCATTTGAAGTATTGGGTCCATATTGCATCATAATATGATGGTAGAGGGGTATTATTTTGAGATATCAATAGAGATTTTTCTTTGCCACATTTTTCTTGTTGCCTCAAGTCCTTCACCACTTTAGTCAGTGCCTTTCACTGCCTTAGAACAGAAAGCAGATACAGCGCAGAACACAGGAGACTGTATTTCTGAATGGATTTTTTAGAAAATACATAGGAGAAGCAACAGTCTGAAAGCCCAAGCCCATTATTTTGAAAGAGTTAGATTCTTGAGAGAGAAAAGAGCTCTTTTTAAATTCTCAAATCTTGGCACTGTGTATCATTAGCAAAGCCTAGAGGATAGCAAGCATATAAACCACAGTGTGAGAGGAATGAGTAATAATGTGACTCAATTTTCCTTCCATGCCTTCTTTCTCCTGTGGGAAGGGACTGGAAGAGGAGAATGAGATTTTATGAAAAAAGATGGGGCTTGGCTCCGTGACCCCTCGTGGAGGTTGAAGCCCCAGGGGATGTAATGGATTTCGAATTTGAGAATCCTCAGACAGAGAGCACTTGTAGTTCTGCCTCCTGTCAAGAATTCTGGGAAGGGGCATCTGTCCGCCTGCCGATGCAGGGGACACGGGTTTGTGCCCCGGTCCGGGAAGATCCCACACGCCGCGGAGCGGCTGGGCCCGTGAGCCATGGCCGCTGAGCCTGCGCGCCCGGAGCCTGTGCTCCGCAACTGGAGAGGCCACAACAGTGAGAGGCCCACGTACCGCAAAAAAAAAAAAAAAAAAAAGAATATAAAGTAAAGCAGAAATGGTTGCAGAGCAGATCTAGGCTTATAGAAGAAGGCCTGAGAGAGGCCACCCCGGTCTCCCTCAGTTGCCAAGGGTTGTGGATAAAGTCTGCAAGGTTCCCAGGTCAACCTGGATAGGGTCATAGAAGGTAGCTGATAATTGAAAGCATGTGGCTTACCAGAGAGTCACCAAAGCCTAGGGCCCAGGAACCCAATAATAGACACTTGGGTAAAAACTAAGGATATTCAGAAACTCTGAATACCCTAACTTTACTTATCTATTAATCTGAAACTATTCTAAAATTTAAGTTTATTTTTTTATTAAGTTTATTTTTATTATATATTCTAGGTCTCTAATCTCTACCAATAAGAATAGAAGCAATCATCTCCATATATCAGAGAAACTGTGAAAATCAGCTAGACTATATCTGCAATAAACTAAGTCTAGAGTTGAAAAAAAATCCATGCAGACCCTCTCTTTCATGGGCAAAAAATCCTGATGAAGGACATCATTGAGCTATAATGCTAATTATCAATTAAAACTTTATTAATGACCACATACTTTATAAAATTGTATTTAAAGTCACAGGTCTAGGTCCAAATACATTTTAAAATTCAAATTAATTAATAAATTTTATCACCAAACTTTTTCAATAGCCATAAGGAGATAATTACATTAATGTAATTATTAATTTACCAGTAATAGGCATTATTTAACTAAATGTACATTCATTTTCACCCTTCTTCCCCAAATATTGACGCTAATAACAAGAGCAAAAGAGAACATGTACAGTAAGTTTCTGTAACAGTCTTTAACCCAAATCATAAATATAAAATTCTTTATCCTATTTTAAAAGAATTTTACACCTTTTTATAATAATTATTTTCCTATCTCTGTTACTTTTGATACTGCTTTATAGGACAATTTGAAATTAAAATGTTCCTCATTATGACTTCAGACTAAGATGATTTTACAGGCTTAGCTGGTACTAGTTTAACAATTACAGAGCCACAATTAATTTTAAAGAGAATATAATAAAAGAGAGCTAGCTTATTAAAAATTATTGTTCAGGGCGCAGCGGTTAAGAATCCACCTTCCAATGCAGGGGACATGGGTTCGATCCCAGGTCCGGGAAGATCCCACATGCCACAGAGCAACTAAGCCCGTGCACCACAATTACTGAGCCTGTGCTCTAGAGCCCGCAAGCCACAACTACTGAGCCCGCGTGCCACAACTACTGAAGCCTGCGTGCCTAGAGCCTGAAGCTCACACACCTAGAGCCCGTGCTCTGCAACAAGAGAAGCCACCGCAATGCGAAGCCCGCGCACCACAACCAAGAGTAGCCCCCACTCGCTGCAACTAAAGAAAGCCTGCGCGCAGCAGCAAAAACCCAACGCAGCCAAAAGTAAATAATAAATGAATTAATTTAAAAAATCATCATAGCGTTTCTTTAAAAAAAAATCATTGTTCATAGTAGGAGAAACCACATTATGACCACCTTCATAAAACTGTTACATCCACTCTTTCTTGTGTATTTTAACTCTTCAGATTTTTTTGTTTAAAAAATATTAAGGGCAGCCACAAAATTACTGACCTCAGTAATTTGTCAATCTTTTGAGTCTCAGAAGGGGCAACTATGTAAAAATCCACAGACCATTTAATACGTTTCCCTTTAATACAATCTTAAAATGATTAAATTTCATGCGGACACATAAAACATTTTCACAGCACAAAAAAGGCAATGACATTGTCCTATAAATTATCTTCATTGTAGTTTTAATTTTTTATTAATTAGAGCCTTTCCTATTTTTGAGAAATAATTAGGCCAACCTTGAAAAAAATCCGTATACTTCTGTGTTTTTAGTTTCCAACAGTCTTTTAACTTATGCATAATATATTCACATGTAATAGAAAAGATGTCTTTTTATTTGCTTAACTGGACAATGCCAAAAAGCTATTCTGCATGTTTTGTCACAAAAGAGATTTTGTTTTATCAGAAATGAATATTTTATATTTGTCTATGCCTTTTTTAAATTAACAGAGACATTATTGATACCTTCTAAACTAAAAGCAAAATCAGAATTTCAGGTAAACAAACCATAAAGATCATTAAAATAAAGCAACCATAATGAAAGCTGTGACAAGTGGCATTTAAGTTTAACTTGCTCTACAGATGTTTTAAATGTTCAACATCCAGTAAGTAGTTTGGGAAGAATCTGGAACGAGAAATGAATAACAAATTGAAGCTTTTTAAAAATAAATCCAGGGCTTCCCTGGTGGCGCAGTGGTTGAGAGTCTGCCTGCCAATGCAGGGGACACGGATTCGAACCCTGGTCTGGGAAGGTCCCACATGCTGCGGAGCAAGTAGGCCCGTGAGCCACAACTACTGAGCCTGCGTGTCTGGAGCCTGTGCTCCGCAACAAGAGAGGCCTGCGCACTGCGATGAAGAGTGGCCCCAGCTCGCCGCAACTAGAGAAAGCCCTCGCCCAGAGACGAGGACCCAACACAGCCAAAAATAGATAAATAAATAAATAGATTTAAAAATAAGTCCATTGTTTAATCAATGACTTATGAAAATAAAAACATTGAAGTATTATTCAGAAGCTTAAAAGCTTTGGTTACAGCATCTTGTTACATACCTTCCAATAAAGATTACAACACAATTAAATCCACTCTTATTCTCAGATGTTTGTAAACAATAAGGTCACCCTATGTAAAAACTAAGAATTCCAGTTTAGCAAAAGCCCTTTATATTACTTATGGATTCTAAAATATATGGACTTTCTCCAGCAAGATCAGAAGATGCTGACAAGATGAGTAGAGCCTGGGAAAGAACGAAAGATCAATGACGTTCTCGTCCGTTACCTAAAATTCTGTAAAGACATAGCTGCTAACAGTGTCTGGTACATTATAAATGCTATTAACTGAAGTTGAAGACAATTCCAGAACTTAAGTAAAAAATGATAATAAGCATATTTTCTTTTATCCTGGATTTCCTCATTTTAAAGAGTACATATTTCTTACTTTGATAATTAACGTTCCTCTATGTCAATCCTAGCTGTGCACAAAGCTAAGACCTCTATTCTATAATACTTAGAACAAAAAATCTTAGAAACAAAATATGCTTCAAAAATAAAATTAGAAAATCATTAAGGTAGTGTAAGATGCTTACTTCTACTTTATTGTGGCAGCTGATACACTGATAGAAATAATAATGTGGTTCACCAGGTGCTAAGCACTGTACTTAATTTACATATATTGACTTTCCTGCAAAACCCTATGAGGCTGGTCTATGAGTTAAAGATAATGGAATCCACTCCAATTAGTAATTTAAACAGAATGGGACTTATTGCAAGGTATTTGGCAGGTTAAGAATTTCTAGGGGAGCCATGGAAGTTAGTTTGTGTCCTATACTATCAGGAATAACATAGCAGGGAGAAATGCTCAGCCAGAACAGGGGACTCTCCTATGGGAACCCCACAGCTACTGCCTTCTGTCATAGATGCTCAGAACCAAATACTGAAATTCCACCTCCACATTCCCAAATGTCAGCTCCACTACAGTGATTACAAGAAGATCCAACATCTTCTAGAAGCTTTATACTGCCCATGTCCACCTCCCAGGTTTCCTTCAGGTGTGCCTAGATGGCAGAACCATGTCAGATGTGAAACCCAGCTGCAAGAGTCTGAGAAATCTGCCTCTGGCTTTCCAGCCTCTGTTGCCATAAGGGAGTTGGATGGAATGGAAGCTGAGCAGAGGATGTATTGACTCAGTTTACAGTTGAGGAAACTGAGGATCAGAGTTCGACT